CAGGGAGATTTGACTACAGAAAAGGAGAAGGTGATGTGACAATGGAAGCATAGACTTGAAGATGCTACAGTGCTGGAATTGAAGATGGACATGGGGACCATGAGCCAAGGAATGTAGGGAATATAGCTCTAGAAGCTGGAAAAGGCAGGAAAAAGATTCTCTCCTCAGAGCCTCCAAAAGGAACCAGCCCTGCCGAGATCTTGACTTTAGCCCAGTGCCACTGATTTTGGACTTCTGACCTCCAGAACTGTAAGAGAATACATCTGTGTTGTTTTAAGCCACTGAATTTGTGTTAATTTGTTATAGTAACAATAGAAAACTAATATAGCATCTACTATGAATAGTAGTAAATTGCCAGGTACAATCTACTATGCTGAGCATTTTGGAGGATACTAAGATAAACAGCTTCATAATCATCAGGTATGAAAGTAGAGGTGCTATGGTATAAAAAAAGTTTTTAAACCTAAACTATATAGTTTTTGCTCATTTAAAAAGAGACTCGTTGTATTTAAATAATTAAATAATGCAGAAGGAAATTGTAATGGTTAGTTTTGTGTCAACTGGGCTAGGCTATAATGGCCAGTTATTTAATCCAACATTAATCTGGGTGTTACTGTGAATGTATTTTGTAGATGTGGTTAATGTCTACAATCAATTAACTTTAAGCAAAGAAGGTTGTCCTTGATTATTTCGGTGGGTATCATCCAATCAGTTAAAAAGCTTTAAGAGTAGAACTGAGGTCTCCCTGAGAAAAAAGAAATTCTTCCTGTGGACTGCAGCTTCAACTCCAGCCTGCCCTTTCTGACCACCTGCCCTATCTTATGACTTCTGGACTAGCCTAGCCAGCCTACATGATTGCATAGGCCAATATCTTGCTGCCTATCTTATCTATCTATCCATGCATCCATTCATCCTACTTATTCTGTTCCTCAGTAGAACCCTGACTGATACAGAAACAGAGGAGAAAATAAGAAATAACATCCTGAAGACAGAAGCACTACTAACATCTTAGTCTATCACTTCCCACATGTATTTGTTCATATAAATATAACCTTTAAAAATAAATTGAAATTGGCCAATAAGCACATAAAAAGATGCTCAATATCATTAGTCATTAGGGAAATGCAAACCAAAATCACAGTGAGATACCATTTCACACACATGACTTTAAAGAGGTCACATGTTAACAAATGTTGGTGAGTAAGTAGAGAAATTGGAACCCTCCTACATCGCTGTGCAAATATAAATGGTTCAGCCACTTTGGAAAACAGTTTGAGAGTTCCTCAAAAAGTTAGATATAGAGTTACTATATGACCCAGAAATTCTTCTCCTGGGTATGCACCCAAGCAAAAGGAAAACAAATGTTTACACAAAAATTTGCACACAAATGTTCACTTATTATTTATAATATCCAAAATGTAGAAAAAACCCAAGCATCTATTAGCTGATGAATGGATAAATAAAATGTGGTATAGTCATGCAACGGAATATTATTCAGCAATAAAAAGGAATTAAATACCGACACATATTGCAACATGGATGACACTTGAAAACATTATGCTGAGTGAAAAAAGCCAGTCAAAAACCATTCATGTTCAGAATGGGCAAATACGTAGAAACAAAAGATAGATTTGGTAGTGGGATGGGGTGGGGGGAATGGGGTTTGACTGCTGTTGAGTAGTTGTTTCTTTTGGGAGGAGACAAAAATGTTCTAAAATTAGATTGTGGTGATGATTGTCAGTTGTACATTTTAAATGGGTGCTACGGTTTGAATGTGTCCCCTCCAAAATTCAGATGTTGCCAATGTGACAGTGTTAAGGGATGGAGCATTTAGATATCTTGCTAGCTTGCCCTTCTGTTCTTGTGCCATGTGAGGACACAGCAGAGAAGCCCTCTCTAGACACCAAACCTGCTGTTGCCGTGATCTTGGACTTCCCAACTTTTAGAAATGTGAGAAAAATTTCTGTTCTGCATAAATTACCCAGTCTCAGATATGCTGTTATAGCAGCACAAACAAAGACAATAAGTGAATCATATGATATGCAAATGATATTTTAATAAAGCTGTTTAAAAGATAAAATAAATTCAATTATTTATTAAATGAGATTTTATTTCTATAACCTGTTTTTTCCATTAACAATATATTGAATACATTTACCTATGTCCACATATATAGGTCTACCTCATTCTATTTAAAAGTGAGGAGTAGTTGTTTATTTAGAGATTACATTGGAGTACATTGTGTAATTGCAGTAAACTCCCTTATCTGTGGATTTGCTTTCCATAATTTCAGTTAGCAGCAGTCAACTGTCTGGTAAATATTAATATTAAAAATGTTATTTTTCCATTTAATATTTTCTGGTCTGAAAATATTAAGTGGAAAATTCCAGAAATAAACAATTCATAAGTTCTAAATTGCTAGTCATTTGAGTCATGTGATGAGATCTTGTGCTGTCCCACTCTGTCATCCCTTTGTCCGGTGTATCCACAGTGTAGACACCACCTGCCTGTTAGTCACTTAGTAGCCATCTCAGCTATCAGATCGACTGTCACAGTATTGCAGTGCTTGTATTCAAGTAACCCTAATTTTACTTAATTATGGCCCCAAAGCACAGGAGTAGTGATGCTAGCATATTGTTATAATTATTCTATTTTATTATTAGTTATTGTTGTTAATTTCTTACTGTGCCCAATTTATAAATTAAACTTATAAGTAGGTATGTATGGGAAAAGCATAGTATATACAGGGTTCAGTATGAGCTGCAGTTTCAGGCATCTACCAGGGTTCTGGGAACTTAACCTCTGTGGATAAGTAGGGACAACTATATATCCTAATTTATCTAATAAATTCCTACTGAAGGACATCTGGGTTGTTTCTAACTTTTCGATATGATAAATGGTGCTGGAACAATATCTGTTCATATACATCACCATAAACCTATCTGATCATTTCATGAGAGAATATTCCTAGATGTAAATGTGCTGGGCCAAAAACTATGCACATTTGATATTAATATGTGTTTTCAGAGAGTCCTTCACAAATACTGCACTAATTTGTAATCCTACCTTCTCTTTTCAAGGTTGTCTATTTCTTCATACCACAGTTCCATTGCTTGTAAATATGGTCTATGATTTAGTAAACCATTAATGGCACAATGCTGCTCCATGTCAAATTTTTCATAGTTCCACAGCAAAAGAAAAAAA